GAGAGATAAAGACAAGGAGAGGCAAAGAGAACTCACCCGGGGTGGGGGATGGTCACTGCAATCCCTTCTCCTTCATTCTCCTCCCAGGATCTTGGGCATGGTCGCACCCGTGCCCAGCATGAATGTGAAGCCTCCGGGTCCAGGACTCAAACAATGGCTGGCCATGTGGGAGTCCAGTGATGTAACTGCCACACCATCTGCTGGCCACAATAAACACTTCTTACTAGTACTTAGAACTTTTATTTCCCTGAGAAATTTTTGCTATAAGACACAAGTGCTCACTGGAGACAGAGATAGAAAGCAAAAAGTTCCCCCCAGGAGGATGGCCACACCACAGTCTCTTCTCCTCCGTTCTCCTCTTGGGATTTTGGGCACGCACGCACACATGCCCTGTGTGAGTTTCAAGCCACTGGGTTCAGGACTCAAATCATGGTCGACCATGAGGGAGTCCAGCACCTTTACTATGTCACCTGCTGGCCCCAATACTTCCACTTTATAATGTTGTTATTTCATTAAATTTCATATTGAATAGTCGCAAGACATATTGGGAGGTGCAGATTACACCAGCATGGATCCTTAAGCCAAGCCTGGAGGTAGAGCTATCTGCATTTTACGAAGGGGGAAACAGGCTCACCTGAGACTGCACAGCTGGTCGGCCAGAGAGGCGAAACCAGAGCAGGCCTGGCTCCACCTCCATGCCCCCCGCCAGCTTATAGTCAATGCTGGAAGAAGACAGTGCCAACTGCACAAGAGCAGGTGGCAAGGCTGCCTAGTTAATCAAGGCATCGCACGTCTTTGCCTCTGGCCCGAACTCTGTCAGCTCCACGGGTTATCCCACGCAGACCAGAACTTCTGACGGGCCATTTGCTTTGCTTTTTTTTTGTAAAGGCTTTTTTCCTATAAGGCGCGTACGCTCGCCAGAAAGACAGAGAGAGACAGAGAGACCGAAAGCGAGAAATCACCCCCCAGGGGTGGTGGCCACGCCGCAATCCCTTCTCCTCCATTTTCCTCTCGGGATCTTGGGCATGCACACACACATGCCCGGCGTGAGTTTAAGCCACCAGGTCCGGGACTCGAACTGTGGTTGACTACACGGGAGTCCAGTGACATAGCCATTATGCTAACTGCTGGTCCCAAGGTCTTTGATTTTCTGACATGAAGGGCAGAGTGATGAAGGAATAATCCCAGCTGGTTGAGGAGCCACGTCTGAAGACACTGGAAATCTCCAACGGCAAGAAAGCTGGGCTGGCCTCCCCCTTATATCTGATAACACTCCAGAGGGCCCTCGGGGCTCCCGAGAACTGGATGGCACCCACTCAGGGGCACGGACAACTGCCTAGCTCTGGGGC